CCGGAGTTTTGTTTATGCCCACTAGATGTATGTTAGTCTTAAATTCACTCTTCTTTTAGCTCTGGTCCAAAGCAGCATACTTCTATGCTGTTTATCTCTTCAGATAAATGTTTAACCTTCCAAACTACCTAGCTGCTAAATGTGTCTTTTTTATATCCTTGTTCTGGGTATGCTGGCATTTTTACAAGGTTGCTGAGCATCAAATTAATATTTTCTGTTACAGTTGTGACTAAAATATATAAAGCATTATTGTGTATCTTCTGTAGTAAATCAGATCCGGTATAGTTGCAATTCAAAACCTTTACAAATACTAAAAAGAAATCAGAGAAACTGACTTGTTGTAATAATCATCCTGGGAACAAGAAGACTTGCTGTATTTCAAGAGACTCCTAAGATTTCTCATCTAAAGACACTAGTTTTCTAAGGTTTGCAAAAAGCTTTTAGAGACATCTGTTGGATTTTTTTTTCTGCAGCAATCACGTGATCACACATCTTCATCACACATCTGCACACAAATTCATTAGGTTCAGCATCAGGTGAGATGCATGCACGAAAGAAATGCATGTCCATGGCCCATCATGACATCACTCATTGTTTCCTGGACTGAAACATCAACATTAGTGTTGTGGCTGCCACCGTGTTGCTTTGTTGCAGTCATAAGTGACAATTTTTGAGTGGAGTGCCAAGCTAGCAAGCTCACATAGCTTCTTCGACCACCTGTAACAAGTGTTACAGGTGGTCGAAGAAGCATCTACAGCTGTGTTTTTATGCCGCATAAGTCTAATTAAAATGCTTCAAGGGGAACCAAAACCACAAATATGACAGAGAGATCCAATTAGAAGGCTCAGATTGATGGAAGAAGCCCCAATGACAGCTATCTGCTACATCTACCACAGTCTTAGCCTTAAATCCAAAAATGAGGTCTACCTGTAAAATGTAGTGTGATCTAGCAGATGGGTTACTGTAACTCAAGGTGGCCTGGTCTGATGTAGCATGTTTTGTTTTACCTCACAGGAATGGTTGGCTACATGTGCGCTACTTACCTAGGGAACACCTGGTTGCACTATGTGAATGTTACTTTGACATGCACCACCTACGTAAACATTGTTGCAGACCATGTACACAGTTTTATGGAAACGGCATTTCCTGATGGCTGCGGCCTCTCTCAGTAGGGTAATGTGTCCTGCCATAAATCAAACATGGTTCAGGAATGATTTCCGAACCATGGAAGTCCTACCTCACAACTTACAGAACCTAACAGATTTTTTTGCTAACATCTTGGTGCCAGATACCAAAGAGCACCTTCAGGTCCTAGTGGAATCCACTATTTGTGTTTTGACAGCAAAAGATGCACCAATACTATGTTAGGCAGGTGGTCACATGTTATGCCTTATAATTTAGACTTTCTTCTTTAGCTAGGCTGTAAACATAACTACAAAACTAAAGTTGGACTTTTCTACATGAGTGTATGTGTTTGACATGTTTTGGAAGCCACACTTAAGTGGCCATTAAAAGAAATGGCCTAACTTTTTCAGCCTCAGTCAAGAAACATTGTTGAATCTTCATTATTAAAACAAATTTCACAAGATGCATTCGTTCTAGTCACTGTAATTAGCCTAATTGTCCTAAGGGGACAGTTCCTGTAGTTAAAACATGGTCAAAGTTGCCCTAAAATCGCCCACTAATATCTGAAGTGGGAAAACTGCTTATTTCCTGTACCAGTCAGGGAGCTTGTCGTTCCTTCCGTTGGCCAAAGGTGTCACCAAATCAATCTGGAGTGAAATCTTTATTATAACTCAGGAAGCAGAGAAAGGTGTTCCTCTTACTGTAACCAAGCAGTTACAGGAGCATTACGTTTTACACAGTCCTGTTGTGTCTGAATTTAAACATTTTTAATATTGCATAACTTCACATGCAGACCCACTGATTCTCTTCTTCCTGCTGCACTATTATTCATATTTTTTGCATCAGTATTAGATTAACAGAGTTTACAAAGAATAAACTAGGATCATTTACCAAGAAAATAAATTAAAGCTTTTTATTCTAAATAACCTTTTGTAGAAATCCATAAAATCCACTTTGTTTTACTAAGAATGCAAAAGACTCACTAAAAGCTTATTATGAATCAGTCTTTTAGTTGGTGGCACAGAGAGGAGCATTGATTACAGTTGGGAAAACTTGCTGCAATAGACATTTGAGGAGAATGTTATGTAAAAAAGACATAAAGGTTATAAACACACGTGATCATATAATTCTCAGTCCCACTTGTGATGTGTTTTCTGAGGGTCACAGAACAGGTGGAGGTT